TGGCTTCAAGTGATTCTCATGCCTTAGCCTCCTGAGTAGCTGGGACTATAGGCATGAACCACCATGACCGGCTAATTTTTGTATTTTCAGTAGAGACTCGGTTTTGCCATGTTGGCCAGGCTGGTCTTGACCTCCTGGCCTCAAGTGATCTGTCTACTTCTGCCTCCCAAAGTGCTGGGATTACAGGTGTGAGCCACCACACCCGGTGTGGAATGGGCTCTTAAAATGGTGAAAGAATTGGTGAAAAATCCAGGGCATGAGAGTCAGAGAGGTCCAATCAAATCTGGGCAAGTGCCGTGATTCCAAGGCGTGCAGTGTAGACTGCAGGGACAGCGTCCAGTCCTGCCTTTTACTCCCTCAGCTCCTGTTGACCCCCAGGAAAACAATGCCATTTTCATGGGCTTCGCTAAGTGGTAGTGAGCACCTGGGCGCCTGGCCAAGGCAGGGAAGGGGGCTAGGGAGAGGAGAGGGAACGGGGAAAGATGAAGGCAACTGCTCTGGAGGCATCTCAATGGGCTTTGGGGGAAGGTGGGTTTCATCTCAGAATCCAAGCACGTCAGGGCTGGGGAGGAGCTCTTGAGATCATTTCGGCCAACCCTCCTTGTCTGGAGGTGAGTCTGAGACCCAGGAGGGGGAAGGGACTTGCCCAAGGTCATATAGCACAGTAGTGATGGAGCTGAGCCAGAATCATAGGGTATTGGGGATGTGTGAGGTGTTACTCCTGTCTGGACAGTTTCGAATAGCACCACCAAGGGCCTGGCTAGAGATTCCTTTCCTGGACATCGTTTGTGCGCGTCCTCTCTCTCCCTCTCTCTCTCTCTCTCTCTCTCTCTCTCTCTCCCCCCTCTGTCTCTTTCTCTCTGTTTGTGTGTGTGTGCCCACCTGGCGTGCCCTGTGAGTGCCTGTGTGTACCTGTGTGCATGTGTGCCTATGACTGTGTTGTGGATAGTCTGGGTGTACCTGTGGCCTCCTACATGGCGATCCGCCCTGGCTCTGAGGCCGTAGGTGAGTCATCTACCCTCAGAGCCTTAGATTCCTCAGCTAAAAAATGGGGGTAATAATGCCCATCTAGAGATGTTGGTGAGAGAATTAAATGAGGGGGTACAAATGAAGCGTCTAGTATAGAGCCTGCCAAAGAGTAAATAATAAATGGTTGCCATTGTTATTGTTGTTGCTGCTGCTGTTGTTAATAAAAATAATACATAAATATCCTGAACAAGTTAGGTGTGGGGGACTGGGGGTCAGGTTTTTGCTACCGTCTGTGTGAATTCTGTCACTTCTCTGGCTCCTTATCTGTAAGAGCAGGGGCTGGTACCAGCTGATCTCTGAAGCCCTTCCTGCTCTGACAGCCTCTGAGCTGTGAATAGATGGGGCTGGGGCCCTGGAGGAGTTTAATGACTCAACAGCTAAAGAGGTTAAGGCTTCCCAAGAAATCACTTTCAATTAGTGTTGGGTGAACTTAGGCCACCAGCGAAGGAAGAGTTTCCTGGCTGGGAGACCAGGGAGAGGGAGCTAGAGGAATACTTCCGGCCAGTGGAGACTGTGACTAACCAGGTGAATGACTAAGTCAGGCCTTGCCGACCTCCAGCCTATCAGGGCTGCCCATGAGTGCCCTATGAGCTGGCATCACTGAGCACGGCTTGGCTGTGTCAGGCCTGGCTGGGTCTGAGCTTCACAGCATATGGAGGGAAAGGAAGCAGCCAAGAGACCAGCAGGGAAAGAGCACTGGGCTTGGAGTCAGAAGACCCAGCTTCCCACTCTGACTCTGCTGTTCACCAGCTGGGTGACTCTGGGGGAGCTGCTTCCCCTCCCTGAGCCTTCACGCCTTCATCCATGCAGCAGAGCCAATAATACCTGCCCAGCAACTTCACCAGGTGGTGAAGACTGAGAATCATGACATGAGATGCAAGTGCATTGTGATCACTAAGGTACAAAATGATGGGAGGTGCTGTCATTATTCCATCCTGATGGGACGTCTGGCATCTCAGAAGGAGACGCATTCATGTTTTCAGAGGAGTCAGGTGAGCACAGGCTGTTATCCTTGGGTTTGGGGCTAGAATCAGCCTAACCTAGGGCCCCTTCCACTCATCTGATCACAGTCCAGTTACGTTTTTCTTAAAGGAGAGCCCCTGTGGACAACTTCCAGCAAGGTTGCATAGCAGCAGTGGAAGGCAACATAAAGCCAGGATGGCTGGGTGGGGCAGGGAAGGAGCAGTGCTAGGCTGCGGCCCCCACAGAACCAGGGTGGTGGTCTGATGTTGTCTTTCCTCTTGCCAGCACATTATAAATAAATAATCACTGGAACCGCACTTTGTCTGCCTCTCCCCCCATAGCTTTTAGCATCTCTCTTTGTGAGGACTGCAAGGACTTTGGGAAACAGCAGGGATGAAGGGAAGGACGCTGCCCTTTCATTTCTGCACACGTTAAACCCATCAATAGCATTCTGCGTGTGCTCACAGCCTCTGGGTACAATGCTGGCACTTGGAGCACAAAGATAGGAACTGCAGGGTCCTGCGCATGTGGTGGTTAAGTACAGTGTGACCAAAGAGACAAAACACTTCCCCTATAATGTAAATAACCACTCAGAAGGGCCCACAGTGTGTCACCAGATCATCCTGACAGTGAGACCTGCAATTGTGCAGAGCAGTGGCCTGGGAGGCTTTGAGGAGGAGGTGGAATTTGAGCTGGACCTGGAAGTTTACCATGGACAAGATACACGGAAGGTGGAACCGGGCGCAGTGGCTCTCACCTGTAATCCCTGCACTTTGGGAGGCCATGGTGAGATCACTTGAGCCCAGGGATTTGAGGTTGTACTGAACTGTGATTACACCACTGCACTCCAGCCTGGGTGAGACAGAGTAAGACCCTGTCTCTCAAAGAAAGAAAGAAGAAAAGAAAGGAAAAGAAAAGAAAAAGGACAGAGAAAAAAGCATGACAGACAGGTATACTTATGATACTCTCAGAGGACAGGTTGGCAGCTGTTAAGAGGGATCACGTAAGAAGTGAGAAGTGAAGTCAGACATGGAGGTTGGAGCCAGATATGGAGATCCTCAAAATTTGAGAGGAGCATAGACCAGATTCCAGGGGCAGTGGAGAGCCCTGAGGGCTTCCAAGAAGGGAATTGGTTTGGTGACAGCTGAGATTTTCTTTCTGGCAACATTGTCCAGGGGAGCATGGCTTGTTGCGCGGTAGGCAGGGAGGTCAGTTGGGAAGTTACTGTGGAGCTGGGGACCATGGGCCTGAGAAGGAAAGGGGACACACATGCGAAGGCTTGATGTGTGGAAAAGAAGGATAGGGAGGGTCCGAGGATGCTCAGTCTGATTTGTCTGATTCTTCAGACAGCTAAACAGCTACTGAAACCCTAGCAAGCGGTAGCGGGGTGTGAGAGTGGAGGAGACTGCAGACCAAACCTGGGCTGGTCGTTTTCAGGAAGCGGGCTCCTCTTTGGGCAGGCCTAAGTCTGATCATCCTACGCTAAACTCACAGGGTCAGCAGGACCCAGAGGTGCCCCAGCTGGGCCACATCCACTCCCAGGGTCCTTTCCTCCCTCTTCCAAGAGAAGAATCCAGAAACGACACAGCATAGCTCCCCATGGTCCCCAGGGAGCAATAGGTTCTTGGAACAGTGTCCTGCAGTGGACAGTGTCCAGTCCTGCCTTTTACTCCCTCAGCTCCTGTTGACCCCCAGGAAAACAATGCCGTCTTCATGGGTTTCGCTAAGTGGCAGTGAGCACCTGGGCGCCTGGCCAAGGCAGGGAAGGGGGCTAGGAAGAGGAGAGGGAACGGGAAAGATGGAGGAAACTGCTCTGGAGGCATCTCAATGGGCTTTGGGGGAAGGTGGGTTTCATCTCAGAATCCAAGCACGTCAGGGCTGGGGAGGAGCTCTTGAGATCATTTCGGCCAACCCTCCTTGTCTGGAGGTGAGCCTGAGACCCAGGAGGGGGAAGGGACTTGCCCAAGGTCATATAGCACAGTAGTGATGGAGCTGAGCCAGAATCATAGGGTATTGGGGATGTGTGAGGTGTTACTCCTGTCTGGACAGTTTCGAATAGCACCACCAAGGGCCTGGCTAGAGATTCCTTTCCTGGACATCGTTTGTGTGCGTCCTCTCTCTCTCTCTCTCTCTCTCTCTCTCTCTCTCTCTCTCTCCCCCCTCTGTCTCTTTCTCTCTGTTTGTGTGTGTGTGCCCACCTGGCGTGCCCTGTGAGTGCCTGTGTGTACCTGTGTGCATGTGTGCCTATGACTGTGTTGTGGATAGTCTGGGTGTACCTGTGGCCTCCTACATGGTGATCCGCCCTGGCTTGGAGAGGAGAACTGGGGTCATGCCTGTGAGGTGATTGTTTTGCTGGGACAGAAGAGAAGAAGGCTGACAAGGCCGGATCTGGCTTCCCGCACCAGTTCCGCCGCCCTGAGAAAATCACAGGCACTGACTGGTGGCGAGCAAACTCCTGGAGCTGGAACACGCAGACACATGCACACTCGTAGCCGCCGTTATAGGGTGGCCCCGGGTGCCCCGAAGTGCCGCATTCCGGCATCCTCATGCCTCCCCGGAGTCCAGCAGGTGTAGACCCGCTAGGCTGTGGAAGCTGATCCGCAGGGAAACGGAGCAGTGGCGCGCTCCCGCCGCTCACACTCAGCGCCCTGCTCCAGGGCCTGGCCCGGCCACACCCCTCCCGCCCGAGCCTCCGCCGCCGTCCCTGCCCCTCTCACACACTCCGGAGTCCCTGGGGGGCCTCCGCAACCTGGCAGGGCCAAGTTAGGGCTGGTCCGGCCGGATAGTCAGGTCCGGAGCCAGGAATCGACGCCTCCCCGAGTCCCGTCTCCGCGGAGCAGACGCGCCAGGCTGAACTCGGGTTTCTGCGAGCGCGGGGTTCGGCGCCCAGTCCCGCACGGGGGAACCCCCGCCCCCAGCCCCAGCCCCAGCCCTCCCGGGACGACCCTGGGAGCCCCGCGCCCAGCCCCGGGTTCCCGCCCCCCGCACCGCGCCCGGCGAGCGGTTACCGATGGTGGTGATGACGGTGATGGCGAAGTAGAAGGAGCCGGCGAAGCGCCACTGCACGCCGGCCTTGTGCGGCTTGAGGCGCAGCACGACGCGCTCCAGCTCCTCGTAGCCGCCCTGGCTGAGGTTGTAGCGCTCTCGCAGCTCCTGCTGCCGCAGCTCCAGCCGCTGCCGCTCGATCAGCTCTGGCTCCGACTCCAGCGCGTCGAAGACCGCGGCGCCCACCAGCAGGTAGGTGAAGGTGCACACGATGAGCGCCAGCGTGCGCACGTTCTGCCGCTTCATCGTCCCGCCCGGGCCGCCGCCGGCCCCCCGGCGCCCCCGGCCCCGGCCGCCGCTGCTGCTGCCCCAGAGGCGGCCTGGGGCATGGCTGCGCTCGCAGCTCTCCGCGCCGGGCACCCGCTCCGCGCCCGGGGCCGCAGCCGCCACTGCCGCCGCCGCGGAGCTGTCCCTTCAGCACCACCCACCAACCTCCTCCGCCCGGCCCCGCGCCCGCCCCCCGCCCCCCGCCCGCAGGCCTCCTCCTCCCGCCAGCCCTCCCGCCCAGCCAAATAAGGACTGGGAGACGCGCCGAGGAGGGAGGAGGGGGGCTGGCGGAGGGGACGGGAGGGGCGGCCGCGGGAAGCCCGGGCAGGACAGAGAGAGAGAGAGAGAGAGAGAGAGAGAGAGAGAGAGAGAGAGAAAGAGATAGAGAGAGAGAGAGAGAGAGCCCAAGAGACAGAAAACTAGACAGCGAAACGCTGATAACTACGGAGGACGGGAGAAAGGCAGTGTAGGACTGAGGGAGGGGGCTGTGTGACAGAGGAGGAGATAAAATCAGAGGTGCACTCAGACAGAAAAAGAAGAGAGGCGGGCAGAAAAATACAGAGCAAAAGATGGAAACAGAGAGAGCAACAGACCGAGACAGAGAGGCCTGGATTGCTGAAGATAAACTAATGACACAGAAACAGAAAGGCAAGGAAGGCAGAGCGATCCCCTCCGCACCCACCCACCACCCTCATCACAGCATATTGCAGCCTGGAGGCACCTGGGGCCTCGCTGTCCTGCCCTTATCCTACGGATGAGGAAACGGAGGCCCAGAGAGGTCAAGTGACACGCATGGGCACGCAGTGTGAGTTCGTGACAGCACTGGGACTCAGCCAAGCGTTCCTTCCTCCCAGGCCACACTCCTTCCTCCCTTGGGCCAGGCTCTGGCTTGGAAGCAGGCAGGGCCCAGCTGTGGACCTGGGCACACATGAGCTGACACCCAAGGGAAAGCCCTGTCCTCAGGCAATGTGGGCCTCGCCAGGTCAGCACAGCTCTTGGAACTGGCTGAGAAGGCACAGGTTGGGAGTCTAGGCCTCCTGCTTTGCTCCCAGGGGCTTCCAGGCTGTCCTGACTCCCATAGCTCCTGTCCTGTACCCGTGCACCAGGCTGGGCTTAGGTTGGGCTGTCAGAGATAGCACCTGCCACCACCTTGAAGCTGCTGGAACTAGGCAGGTGGGGCCCACAGCAGGAGGCTCACTGGCAGAGTGGGGGGGAACCAGGGCAGGAGGGGGTTCCCCATGCCTCAGTTGCTTCATTTGTCAACATGGTGGCTATCGTGTGAGGTGAGAAGAGCAGCAGAAACTCAGACATCACTGCTCCTCTCAGAGCCTCGTTTCCTTATCTCTTCAACGAGGTGTCGTAGCAGATGATCCCACAGGCCTTGCCCAGCTCCAAACAACTGCAGACTTGGATGGGCTGAGTGAGCAGAATGATTGGAATGCAAATCTCAGTGCCAAGGAGGGTTAAAAAGTCCTTCACAGGACCCTGGCATGGGCCACGCACAGAGACGTGGAAGAGACACCAAGGCCCCTGTCTGCGAGCAGACTCAGGAGGCAGTCAGCCGGAAGCCGGAGCACTATCTGCCCACAGGTTGGGCTGACCCGTCACTGCTGGACACTACCCTCCTTCTTTAATGACACCCCAGAAGTGCTGCCAACTCATTCCTTCCTTCAACAAGTATTTATTAAGCATCTGCTGTGTGTCAGGCAGTCATCATTTCTAGTCCTTGCCTCAACCCTGAAAGGTAGATATGGTCATGCCTATTTTATAGATGGGGAAACTGAGGCTAAAGGCAAGGTAGAGAATCACTGCATTTCACTCAGCTGGGAAGAGGCTTCAGTCTGTCTGCATCCATCTTAAGCCCATGCTCTTTGCCATGACTCTTTGAGTCTCTAATTTTTCAATTTGTAAAGCAGAATGGATAATAATATTAGCTCTACCCACCCCTTTAACCATTTGTTTTGAGAGATCAAAGAAGAACACATGTGTGCAAATCAGATGATATCAAGCTCTCTAATGACTTCTGGTTTCTGAACCACAGCCTGATGGGAGGGTCCTACATTTACAGCACCATGTTCCCCCTCTCCCTTCAAAGGAAGATCTTTGTTTCTTTGCAGGCACAAACCTTCTGGTCTTGCCCTTTGACCAGGAACTCAGCCTATTGCAAGCTTTTTCCCTTTGCATCTTCTGGCTCCCCGGAGAGAAAGTGCTGCCTTTCCCGGCTTCTCAGAGGTGAAAGTACAAGTTAGGTTCTGTGCCTTTCTGACATATTGGCTCCTGGAAACAATTATCCCAGAAGCCAATTCCCCTAAAGCTTGCCTAGATGAGCAAGTGGCTTGCTAGACCAGGCTTTCAAGGTGAAAAGGCTGTGTCCAGGTTCTGCTTGCTTGTAACTGCCGGGCCAGACAGCTGTACTGATGAAAGGTGATATTATGAGCGAAAGAGCTTTGGAAACAGGAAAAAGCTGTCTTTAGGGGCAGGGCATGTATTATTAATCATGATGAAGCTTTTTCTCACAGCACTTCAATACTGAAAGGACCTTTAGAGATCATCTGGCCCAGCCTTCTTGTGTTATATATGAGGAAACTGAGGCTTAGAGAGTAGGAAGGGTGTTGTCCAAGGTCACACAGTGAGTGAGGGGGGACCAGGACTCATGTCTCAAGGCTAGCACTTTCTTGTTGCACCCATTATGTATGGGACCAGGGCACCCATCAGTGTGGAGGCCCTGAAGCCCAGAGGCCAGCCTGGGTCTCCTTCTTCCTGCCCCTCCTCTCTCCGTTCTCTTGGGGAGAGGGTTCTGCGGTAGAAGCCATGCTGGTACCAGTCTAGGTTTCTGAGTAACCCCTGGGACTTGTAGGCAACCTGGGTCAGATTGTGTCAAAGACCTATCAGCTTATACCATTTCCTCCCATCCTGGGCTCCTCAGACCTGCCTGCACCTGCCCAGTCTCTGTAACCTGTCTCTGCCACATGTTTGCTATGGCATTGGGGGCCAATTGCTCCTTCTCCCTGGGGCTTGCTATGCACGTCCATCAGTGGAAGGGTTTGGACCAGGAAATGTCTACACTCCATTTATAGCATCCCATGAGCATCCCGGACTCTGTTTTTCTAGTTCTCACAACAATCAGACAAAAAGAGGAGAGAGCACCACTTTTAAGATTCTAGTTTGTTAGGTAGGATACATTGAACATAATGTATCATCAGTTACTATATTTTATTATATACTAATATCATCCACAATTGTTTTCCAGCTTTATCTTCCACTCCATTCCTCTCTAAGTTCTAAACACGTCCACGTACTTCCATGCTTCACATGGCTCATGTGGCTCCCGTAGCCTGGGATGCTGGTGCCCTTTGCCTTTCTCGTCTCTCTGTTGAACTCTTATTTCAACAGAGTTGGGCTCCAAGACCCAGCTCAAAGACCACTCCCTCCATGAAGCATTTCCCGGTTGTCTCTGATCCGAACCACTGGCTCCTTTTGTGCTCACATTACCCTAAGCATCAACTCAGCAGGTGTTCCTCCTGCCCGGAAGATTAGCGGCTCTTTCATATCTGTCTTCCCCGCTGGCTCATTATCTTCTCCAGGGTGGAAGAAACCCTTCTCACTCACGCTACTCTCCCCTCAGCGCTTTGCACCTTAGAGCTGTCCCACATGTTTCCTTGGGTGACTCACTCAAATGAAGGCTTTAAAGAACTCTATACCTGAGTTAGAGACCATCAGTGTCAGAGGGAGAGGGGCACAGATGGCTGAGTCTGCAGGCAGAAAAACCCTGGCAATCTGCTTCTGTGGCTCTCTGAAGAGAGATATTCTAAAGCTGGAACAAGCCCTGTCTAGGTTAGGAGAGGAGGATAAAGACAGATGTGAGTGTTCCGAGGCCCAAGGAAGCATGTTGTGTAGTGGAGAAAGCACTGATCTAGAAGTCCAGAGGCTGGAGATTGGTCCCAGTTCTGCCATCCGTTCCCACCAACTAGATGGGTGGACTCAGGAAACTCACATGGCCGCTATGTGTCTCAGTTTCCTTTTCTACAAGACAAAAGCATTGGCTGTATTGAAAGATCCTTTCCTGCTCTGACATTCTGGGATATTAATGAGAGCCCTGGCCATTTGACCAGCAGTGCTCATTGTATAATGGCCAAGAATGTGGCCTGGAGGATGAGAGGCCCGAAGACCTCTCTATCCATTGCTTTCCAGCCCCATGTATGGGCAATTTGGCTGGAGGATGGGGGCAGGATCAATGAGGTAGGACCCTGAGTCAGACAAACCGAAGTTCAGAGCCTGACTCCATCAGTTTCTAGACCAGATCCTCACATGAATTTCAAGTTCGTTCTGTTTAGACAAGACCATAAGCTCCTGTAGGGCAGGGGTAGGGCCTTACTCATGTCTGTAACCCACAGCTTCCTTACACAGAGAAGGTGTTCTGTAAATACCTCTCTATTTGGTCCCGTTGGCCTGGTGGGCTCAGGTGGGTTGGTAGGGCCTGGAGCCCATGGTTCATGTAGGAAGCAGGGTCCAGAGCCATCTCGACATAACCCAGGGACAGGCCTGAGAAGGGGGAGAGAAGCCCAGAAGCTGCTGCAGAAAGACAGGGAGGACATTGCTGACACTGACCCCTGCACCAGGGATCACAGTCCCTGACCGTGGGTTGATCAGATTTAGGGTGCTTTGGGTATGATTGGGGTGTTTCTTGGTGTATCTCTGTCGGGAGAGAAGTCAGGGGATTAGCCTGGCTTTATGGAGCATAACTGGTCCCAGTGCAGCCGGCTTGCGTTTGTCAAGAGACACTATTTGTTTAACATCTCAAGCCCAAATCAAACACAAAAGGCAACTGTTAACAAAGAGAGGATCTGCAGGCTGAGGGGGAGAGCACATGAGGCTGGGAGGCTGGACACCTGGCCCTGTTCTTAACCCTGCCCGGTCGTGCTGTGGGATGGGGAGAAAGGGTTCCCACCTGGGAATGAGGGGTCAAATTCAAAGATCTGAGAGGCCAGCCCCATGCCAGGACTGGGCTTGGCTCTCCTACCAGTGAGAGTGAGGAATAGCTAGGCTTTGTGGAGTTGCTGTGGGGTCAGGCTTGCTCCTGCTCACAGTAGCCATCATCAGCATGAAGCCGTAGCCCTCATTCCACAG